TCTTGTGTCATGAATCTACGGGAAAGTAGTATAGTTTTTTGGCTTTCTTTATTATTTTTGGTGAGGACGATGAATAGTGTTTAAAAATATTTTTTTGGATTAACCCCTGTTTATTGCTTTTCATATTGGTTTTTCTTATAAATGGATTTCAGAATGGTGCGGTTGCCAGGGGCAACCAAGCCTTTTGTTTGTGTCTGTTTCTTTTTTATAGGACAATTTTTGTTGATAGTTAAGTAATTTTTTAAAGAAAAATGTCTGCCAGTCATCTCCCTTTGGGGCCTTGGAGAATTCTGTGGCCCAGTAAACAGTCTTAGGTCAGCTGTAAATTTCCTTTTGGGGCCCATCAGGGAGTCAAAATGAAACTTTGTTGTATTCAAGTGGGGGTTTACTAATGTTTGTCAGAGGAAGGTGGGTAGTGGTCTGTTTGCTATCTGGATTATCCCTGTTTTAAGGGGGGGCTAGTATATTGGTATTGTGGTTATTATGGTTGCCTTGTTTCAAGAGCCGGGTTGGGTTTTAGTTATTGTTGGTATAAAGTGTGTTGTTATATTGTTGTGAAATCAGTTTCAGGGTGATCATCTAGTAGGCCAAGGTTGATGTTGAATCTCCAGTAAGGAAGGTGGTGGGTTATTCTTTTGTCTTTTGTTATTTGTGCCTTTTAAATTTTTACTGAAATTTTGGGGGGTTTGCGTGGGGTACCGGTAAAAAGGCACCCATTGTTATAGGTCTTAAGGTTTTTTCAGTAAAAATTAGCAAAAAATTTATTCTCCATATTCATCAAAAGCAAGTGGGGCTAAAACAAGATTTGGTTTGGTAAAAAATTGCAAAACACCCCAACTTGGTTTTGGTCTGCAGTTGGGATTGCTGGTATCCTGTAGAGGGTGTTCTATTTTGTCCCGCTTAAACCAGGTTCCCGTAGAATAACAGGAGAAGGGTTCTTTAGTGATTCAAGGAGTGCCAGGAGGTCATCTAGAGTTTGCTTTAAAGGGCCTGATGTTGTAGTTAAGTCTGATAGACTTTTTAAATTTTTTAAGATGTGCTGGCTTGTGATGTGTGTAGTAAAGGCAGTTATTTCCAATGTTTTGATTGTGTTGTAGATTATGGGGTTTAGATCAGGGTCACGTTACAATTCTTCTAGGTTTTAAAATTTTGGTTATTTATATCCTGAGTTGTGTGTTTTAGTTTGTACGATTCTGTAGTGGTGGGAAGTTTGGAAAGTATATAGCTATAGTATTTTGGTCATGTAGAGTAAGTCACTAAAACACATAATGGAGTTGGTTTGTCTATTGTTGTGTGGAATAGCTAAATTTTTATAGTTTAAACTAATAATATAAAATACAAATTAAAAAAAAGCACAAGACTTCACTTGTAATTGCACTAAGGTCAAACTGTCACACATCGATTTTGTTTCCCTGCGGAGGTCCGAACGTGATCAACTTTTTTTTTCTTCCTTCAAATTTGGTGCGATAGGCCCGGTGCCTACATGAAAGAATGATCTTGCACTCATTTGGGCACACTATTTTAAAAAAAATTGGGGGCACTTAGTACCTTTTGGGAACACCAGTTCAAGTGAGTGCAGCTAGAGAAAATTTTGGCAAACACCAAGGGTTTACTGTGTCATGTCATATTAACACTCAATTTTTGAGGAAATAAAAAAAAGTTAGATAAAATAAAGCATGATGGGTGTGGTTGGGCGAAAGTTGGACCGACTAGCTGTGCTACTGGGTCAAAAACGTGCTCCCTTTTTCGTGGATGTGACTGATTTTGGTGGCTCAAGGTCTAAGCCCGGGGGGGACAGGACCTGCTTTGCATGGGCCCGAGGGGGGGGGGGGCTGCAGTGTTCATTCTTTTTTCTTTTGTTTCGGCTGGCGGGGTTTGGCTGTTGTGTTGTCTGTATCTTTTCGTACTGTTTATATGCCCCTTGTATCTCGTCTCTCAATGTACTCATAAATACAGTTACATACTAATGAAATTACTTTGTAAGTATACCCCAAAAATTCCGGCCAAGTGCTTACAGGTTTGTAGATTAAGACATAAATAAAACTATGCAAATAATGCAGTGTCAATTTTCGCAATCAGGGAGCGGCACATACACCAAAAACCCAAAAGGTTTTTTCTAGCCTCTCCTGAACAGAGACAAAACGTGGAAAACGAACCCAGAGAAGGAAAAAAGATAAGCAGGCTGACGGACAGATAAACAAGCTAGGCAGACAGACGACAACAGATGTACAGATAAAAAAATGTACAATAGACAAGACATACAGGGGCATGTTTGTGTGCAAGAGCAAAAACTATAGGCAAGGTTCCCCCTCCCCGCACACATTTATCAAAAGTACTATTTTTTTGTGCTGTCTAACACAATTATTCAAGGAAATCGATTACACTCCGGCACCAAAGAAGACAAAAAAACAGATAAGTGAACTGGGCGACAGATAAGCGAACTAGGCAGAGAGAAGACAGACAGATAGACAGACAAGGTGATGTACGATAACAATGTAAAATAGCGATAGATGTACGATGTCTGGGAAACAATAGACTGACAACAGACATACAAAGACATGTTTGTGTAAGAGTAAAAAAATAAAAGGCAAGGTTCCCCCCTCCCCAGGGCACATTCTGACCTTTGTCATAACACCATGCTTTAAGGAGGTTTATATCCAGTGGTCTAAAAAATTGTGGGACCTATAAATACTTTTTATTATTTCTAAACAATAGTAAAAAACCAGGGGAGGTGAAAATGTTCACCTGTCAGTGTGATAGTTAAAAAATTTGAGTACTATTTTATACATAATATTATGTCGAACAAAGATTGGGGTTTTGAAGTCACAAGAACTTTTAAATTGTAATTATCAAACATAAAATTATATAAATTTAAAATAAAAAACGAGAAAAAAAGGGATATCACAACACTTCTGCAAGTGGGAGGACTGGATGTTGCCGTCAGGTGAGCATCCAGAGCCAACTTCATGGTCTTATATCTCGGTAAGTACTGGTCCTAAAATTTTTTTCTTTTGGTCTTATACCACAAAGAAAATACCCCTCTTTAATTTAAAAAAAAAAAAATTTAATTTTTCAAAATATTTGGAGTTTCACACAGGCGAACGTAGATCTACATTTGGACAGTTTAAGGGTTAAAGACCTAACAGCTCCCTCCACTGCGTTGGCCAGTGCTCCCACCCTAAACCTAGATAAGTGAACCCCATCCCTGGCATACATGTCATTTCTGCCATAGAAGAGGTCCCAGTTGTCTTTGAATGTTACAGTATTTTCCTTAGTGTTTGTCCAGCCAGCAATTGACACCAGTTGCCCTGGACAACCATTCATTTCCAACTCCCCTCCTGGGCAAAATGCCACATATCACAGGGTTCCCACCCTTCTTCCTTATTATCTCTATTGCTGTCCTATACCTGCTAATCATTACATCCCGCGGTGAGACAGATAATAGGATTGCTCCCATTACCCTTCATGATATTGTCCAGATAGCTATCATTATCCCCCATCCCAGCCCCAGGAAAACACACCCTCTGCCTCCTCTTCCCATCTCAAGACAAAAAAGCCCTATCCATAAATTTAATCTGACTGCCCCCAACTAAAACAGTGTTTTTACCTTCACTGGCGGAGTTCATTGTGACGTTCTCGATGGTCTTCGTTGGGGTTTCAAGGGATGTCGACTCGCCCTCCTCTGCCAATGCTTCCTTGGTGCTTGTTGTGACATTCCCAGCAGACCCAGCTGGTGTGTGTGGGGAAGTACCCTGGCTGGTTTGTTTGGGGAAGTACCCTGGCTTGTTTGTGTAGGGAAGTACCCTGACTGGTGTGTGTGTGGGGAAGTACCCTGACTGGTGTGTGTGTGTGGGGAAGTACCCTGGTTGGTTTGTGTGGGGAAGTACCCTGACTGGTGTGTTCTTTCTTGAATTCTATCGTGTTTCTCGCCTTCTTTACCAAAAGGCTGGCACTAGGAGCTTTCTTTTGGCCTATAGTGGCTTATTTAGCAGTTGCAAGCACAAAAAACAATGGATTATTGTGAAATTTATCGTACAAACGTGTAGGGCGATGGTCACTCGCCGAGAAACAATGCCACACTGACTCTGAATGGTGTGTAGGACTCATTCCATACGACCGCCAAATTTTGAGGCAAATCGCGAAACACGGGGCTATATTTTTGATGAAAGTTGCCGAAAATAAAAATTCATGAAGCGCGTGGCTCACGAAACTCGGGGGTCCACTGTATATATATTTATATTTTAACACATTGGTCCTTTCCCCCTACACTGCATCAAGGTACATAGTGTGTAGGTTCAAATCCTACTGTGGACTGAGAGATAATGTTTGTAAATAATTTCATCCGTTTGCAAATTGTTATTTAACAAACTGGTCATCTCCCACCGAGGTAGGGTGACCAAGAGGAAAAAAAAAAAAGAAGAAAAACTTTCACCATCACTTACTATCTTGCCAGAGGGGTGCTCATACTACAGTTCATAACTGCAAAAATATCCCCACCCCTCCTTCAGAGTGCATGCACTCTGAAGGATTGCCTGCCTATACATGTATTTATAAATAGTATGTATTTATTTTATTGCATGTGTGTGTGTAATTATTAAATCTTATGTTGAAAATGTCACTCAAAATGTACTCTGTATGCTTTTGCATGTTTTATTTTCAATTAGTGCAGACTTACAGTGGTAACTGTAGGTTAGTGTTATTTTAAGTTTTGCACTTTTTTTTTTCTCTTCTTTCTCATAATTCTGTAAATTGTCAGAGTGGAATGTGTATTTTTATTCATTCTAGGTAAATTTATGAAGATGCACTCTTAAAGTCACTAAATGTATTTAGATTTTGTAAAACACAATTTTTTTCTTTGCTATATTAGCACATTACTGTATACTTTATTGTATAACTATTAATTAAAAGTATTGATCTAAGTCATAATTTGTATGCTTAATTATTATCCAATTATTATCTAAATATTTTGGAATACTTATCTTTATTTTCTTCATTCTTAGGACTCCTGGTGGACCTGGTGATAGTGCTGGGGGTCAACCTGTTTTTGCCATGCCCCCTCCCCAACCCACGTCCACTAATCCAACCAATCCCTTTGCTGTGGGTGGAGCGGCCAATGAAAGCACTTCTCTAAATACCAGCAACCAGCCTACCTATACACCAGGTGTGGACAATGTGGAGTCTCCTAAAATGCTAGTTTAACTCTTGTTCATTCAGATGCAAATAAAATGATCGTGATTGGAATGCAGTCAAATTAATAGGAATGCAGTCATGTTTTAGGTAAAAAAAATTCATATTGTTTTATCTAACCATTATCACGTATTTGAGAATTGTGGTAACAGTAATTTTCAAGTTGTTTTTCTTTGGTTTTTGAAGCATTGCATGGCAGTAAAGAATAGGTGCCACCATGGCGTTTAATGTTTAGTTTGTGGGAATATGTAGATATTCTCTTCTGCCTCTAACTTAGGCTCAGAGCCCCATGACAAAGTATGTTAACTTGAGCTGCTTAACTCCGATCTCCCACATGACTGCATTTTTCTTCATTGTTTGAATTTGGCGTTTTCTTTTCTCCCGTGCAGCACCTCGTTTATTATCTGAAATGATTTGTGTTATGTCTTTCACGGTAAAATTTCTGAAAGAGTTAATAAGGAGAATCTAGAATACTGCATTATCTGTTTTTGATTAGATTATTGTTGGTTCTGGGAACTTCTCATATTGTTTTCTAGTATATTAGGTAATCTTTGTGTGTAATGTGGAATAACTAAAATTACCTTTATTAAATAGTCTGATATTATTTTGAGCCTATTTAGATTATATTTTAAATGTCAGTATTTTATTGTACTGTTGATATCCAATTATCCAAGCAGATTGCATTAGTTTTTTACGATACTTCATTCTTAATCCATGCACTAAATTTCAGTATTAGATTTTTCAAACATAACTTGTATGAAGTGTTTACATCTAGCATGTTTGCCATAGTGATTTTCCTCTTTCTCTATTCTCTTCTTATCATTCATACTTTTCATACTTGTAATAGCTACCATATAGTCATCTTGCTCTGATTTTTCCAAGTTGATGGTTCTTTCCTGGTTACTATTCTGACATATACCTTCAGATAATGTACATTTCAGACGTGTGATTGCAATAATTTTTTTTGTGATATAACATGTAACACCACATACTGATAGTCATTTACACATCAGAGCTCATTTATTCTTGTACTGTAAATCTGTATCTTGTATAAACCCCATTATACAAGTGCATAACTAATACAGTGGAACCTTGACTTACGAGTGTCCCAACAACATTTTTTTTTAAAATACGAGGTCGAGGGTCGTTTTTTGCCTGATTTAAAAGAGCCAACATTTGAGTTATGACCCAGTTACCCCCCCCCCCTTTCCCCCCCTAAATAAAAAACCGGCCCCTCTTTTGTTTATCTTTGATTTCATGCCTAATTCCAGGGAAAACATCTCTTTTTCTTCTCAGCACTGCCCCTTCAAAAAATCTTGGACTCATGGATAGAAAAGCGAAATTTGGCCGTGGCTGTCAGAAATTTAAGCAAAGCAGGGGGAAAACTGCCCCCCACATGGAAAAAACGTGCATGAAATTGGCTTCATTTGAAGCTTTTGTTTATTATTTTTTATTAATTAGGGAATAAAAGCTCTTTTGTTTTTGAAATTTAATTATTTAATTTTTGAAATTTTAAGGGAACTGGCCTTACCGCGTAAAGGTTTCCCTTGATGCCGTGGGGGTCTTGATCGAGGGAATTGATATGTTTCTAGCCCCAAAATTAATAAAAATAATAATTTATTTAAAATTATAATAAATTATAATTAATTTTTTTTTTTACAATTTAGGTTTTTTTATACAATGACGTAATAATTTAAAATGTTGCCGTAGTTGGGCAGCTGATTGCAAAACTCCGGTAAGCGTACCTGTTTTCATCGCTGTGGAGCAGTTTTTCTCCTGCTTTACTTGCATTTTTTTACAGATTTGGCCCCAAAATTTTCCCTTTTTAACCATGGGTTAGAAAAAAAGTGCAAAGGCAGTGCTGAGAAGAAAAGACGATGATTAATATGAAAATTAAAAACATGAATCATAGATAAATATAAGCAAGGTGAAAGAGTTGTGGATTTAAACCGGCTACCGCAAATACTCTCTTTTGTACAATACTAAAGGCAGGTTGTAAAAGGGTATACGCCACTGCGAATCTCCACCCCAACCTCCCCACCCACCCCCCCCCACCCCCAACCACCACCATTTGCCCAATGTGTAAATAAAAACATTTTTATAAAAGTTTTTATTTTTTTACAAATTTTAAAGATTATATTTGGTGTTTTAAAACAATATTTCAGTTTTTTTCCCTTTGAAAATAGTGATCTACTGCAGTTTAAATCAAAATGTCTTTTTCTTGCCCAAAAAAAGCTGAGAAAATACTAATAGTCAAAAATTGGACGAAATGGCGCGCTTTTCCGCTGCCTGCCCCAAAATTTATGGTATTTTTTATTCTAGAGTTTATCAAAATTTTTGTTTAATATTGTTTATTTTGTCTTTTTTGAGAATTTTGGGTAGTAAAAAAGCCCTGAAATTGACAATTCATCATATTCAAGTACAGTAGGGCCCCCGTGAGATGATTTTTTAGGGTTTTTATGGGGTGTGACCGAAATAAGACCATAATACGGTAATAGTGAGGGAAAAACCCCACGACCCCCAACCCTTCCCCCTTCTTGTGTTTGGGCCCTCTTGTTTATGTTATTGTTTCCCAACGAAAGAGGAAACTCTTATTTTCCCATATCCAGGATGCAGATGTGAGCAATGGTGATGATAGTGATAGTGAATATGAACTACAAGCTCTTGAAAATGGTTCCAGTAGCGATAGTGAAGTGGAATATTCTCCAGTGAATCATCAGTATATACGACGATATATGTGCTCTGGTAGTGTGCCATATGCTATTCCAAGGGGAAGGAGTACATCCCATGGCTGTACAACAGGAACAGATAGTGAAAATGAACATGATAGTGTTGCATTTGGGATGGAAAATGTGCATGCATCTGGTGGTGGTAGTTGTGGTGCCAGCCGTGAGGCATCAGGAGTGGGCCATGCTGCCACCCACGCCGCTGCCTCAGCTGATCTACAACAAAGGCCATCATCTCCCACCCACCCACCACACCAGCCTCCACAACCGCCTGTCAGTATCCAGTACCCACCAGCAGACTGCACCTGGGATTGGCAGGAAGCTGCCAATATTGTTCCAAATTCCTATCAGTTTGATGAAAGCCAAAGTGGAATATGGCCATCTTGTACACTTGGGAACAATGCCACCGAACTAGAATGTTTCGAGTTATTCTTTGACAAACCCCTGATGGAAATTATTGTCAGGGAAAGCAACAGATACTTCGAGTACACCATGGCAAACACAATACTTTCACAAAACTCATGCCTACACCAATGGAAGGAGACAACAGTGGCTGAGATGTATCTTTTGTTTGCCACAATAATGCTTATGCCACATGTGTATAAGCACAGTGTGAAATCATACTGGTTGACGGACCGCCTGATTGCAACCCAATCAATTTCAACCAATTTCAACCCAGCCAATTTCAGTGATATAATAGGAGTGAATCGATTTGTTCTACTTTTACGTATGCTTCATTTTCTCGGGAAAAAAACCAGGCCTGACAAAAAAACGACAGGCTATGTAAGATTGGAAAATTGGGGGGGTTTTTGTGTATCTGAAACAAAAATTTCGATATGAAATTTTTACCCCCTTCAGGAAGTTTTATTGATGGGGTCTTTGTTTCTGTTCAAGGGAAACTCTCTTTTAAGCAGTACTTTCCAAAGCAAAGGAAACATTTTTGGTATAAAGTTGCTTGTGTTTGGGGGGTTTCATTGCTACAGTGGGTCTTGTATTGGTTTTAATTGTGTTCCGGAAAAGTAAACATTGCAAAGATCCCAGGAAGTTTTTGGGGGTATTTTGGTGATTGGGGAAGAACAAGGATAAAAACAATACTTGGTAAGGGACATTTTATTTTCTGATAATGGTACACAACCCCCCCTTACTCATTGTTTTGCGAGTGAACATGACAGATGTTGTGGTAAAGTGTTTGGGCAAATCTTTTAAAACATAACCCCAGGTTAAACCCAAATACTAAATAGAGGTGGGGATGCAGGCTTTTGGGCTGCCAAGGGACATATGGCATTTCGGTGGCATGACAAAGGGAGATGTCACCTGTTGCCCATCAGTTCCCCCTTTAACAAAAATTGGCGGGCCCACTGGCAGGCAGCAAGAGAGAGAAATAAAACCCCAAAATTCTACAACCTGCAGTTGATTATTAAACCACCCCCCAAAAAGGCATTCAGTGGACAAAGTGACATGAAAATTTTGGGTTTGCTGATTGTTTTTGGGCAAAGTTATAAGTGGTGAAAAAACTCTTTCCATATTTGGACTTTTCCCAATGCCAATGTTTAAAAATAGGGTATAAGAGGGACTAGAAAAAAACCACCAAGGGCCCAAAATTTTTGTCTGTCATCAGACAAAAAAAGTCCCCGGGAGCAAAACCTGAAATAGAAAACTCCCCAACAAAAATTATCAACAACTACCTTTTTTGTCTGAAGAAATTGGTGTTAAAATTTCCCTAACAAAACTGCCTGCTATGCTTTCAAAAAAAAGGGGCTCAAAGAGGTTTTACATCTGTGCACAAAAAAAAAAAAAAATCCCCCAAAAACAACACACACTTCCCTTTTTTTGTGTGAGGAGTGTAAAACCCATTGTGAAATGACGGGCATGGTTTCTTAGATTTCCCAAACAGACTCCCAAAAATTCTAAAAACAGCCCTGTGACTGTATATGTGTTATAAAATGTAGAAAAATAGTAATAACATTTTATATTGTTTGTGAAAAACACTTTTTGGGTAAACAATATAGTAAAACCCCAGGGGTTTTTTCAGTTATTTTTGTAGTATAGAAAGAAAAAAAACCCTTAAAAAATATTGCTCATTTTTGGTTCACAGGCCATAAAAGTTACTTAAAAAAAAAAATTAAAAAAAAATAAAAAAAAGGGTAAAAAATTTAAAACAAAAAAACGATCACCGGGTTCATATTTGGGCGATTTTTGCCAATTTCCCAGTCATTTTCGGGTAAAATTAAGCCCCTTTTATCTCGGT